GGGGAATGGTCTGAAGATGTTTGAGGAGGTTGCTGTCCTCCTTTCCCCCCCCCCCCCCCCCCTGTGTTGTTGCTGAAATTGGGGCAACTGGGGGGGAAGCCACTTCAGTGGCGCACGTGGGGGTTTCTTCACATCATTCCTTCCTTCTCAAAACCATCAAATTGGATGGCCCGATTGATTGAGTTCGTCACTATAAACCCATCCCTCATATCCCTGCATTACTGGGAGTCATCTGTGCGGTCTGTGTTGGTCCTTTTTTAACTTCTGCTCCATGGGGAAAGCGTGTTGTGGATGGAGCGGACAAACGAATTCCCCACTGCGGTGTCCATAGGTCTTACACTTAAAACACCATGGCCGAAATTTGTGGGCCGTGTGGATCTGATAAATTCTTCCACCCATTCTGAAGGGGATTATATCATCAAGCGAAAAGGGTTGATCCTTGGGTAGGTCTAAGGCCATCATCAAGTAATCATCCCGTTTGGCAACATACGTTGGCAACGGATCAATGAAGTCTACTATCTTGTATTGCTGACCGAAATCGTGGATGAAAGCCGCTTGAATTTCAATTGGTATGAGCCTCAATTCTACCCAATAAAATTCTTTCATTAATTGGTCCCTTTTTTCTTCCTGTCCCATTTTTTTTGGCAACCAAGGATATATTCTGACTTCTGACCCTTCCCACTTCATTTTTCTCCAGTTGTCCATTTGTTGTTTGTCTTTCTCGAAGAGGCTGATCACTGTGAAGACTGTGGATGACAGTGGTTGAATCAGAAAAAATTCAAAAACTGCGTCCGTTCCATCTTTCATGGATTCCAACTTTTTTGCATATCCATTTCGTCTTGTCATTCATTGATCTTGTTGCACTGTGATCATAAAAGATCCAATTGCTAGCATGCTTAGTATACACTTCATCTCTTTTTGCAGTTTGTCTGTGGGATATGCTTTCATCAAAGTTTTTCGTCCCCCTTGATCAATCACAACCTGTTATGAGGCCTATAGGAACAGAGACAAAAAATATGCTCTGGCCGAGAAGAGGTTTCTCATAGGGACCCCCTGTCTCATGCTTCGACCTTCCATTCCCAACCTTTGAGTATCATGCCCCATTCCCCCCCTCTGGGTGTCATGAACCAGAGCAGGTCGTGAGTATGGTGCTGCACCCAGATGTCGTATCAGGGAATGCCTCATCGCCCCTTGGTAGAAAAGGAGCGATTCTGGGCCCTTTGCTCTTTTGATGTTGAGCTTCATTTTGAATTCTTACTCTACTGTTTCTCTATTTGGATTCCTTCTTCTTGTTCATTTATTATTATATCTTTTTTTTTTTTTTTTTTTTTTTTTTTTTTTTTTTTTTTTTTGGGTGGAAACCACATAATAAGAACAGGAGGGTATTTGGAGATGAGAGTGAAGGATGATAACTTACTAATGTATTGGCGACCATAACACAGAAAGAAAGAAACCTCGCTGTCTGGTTTTCCAGAATACTCCTCGTGGCCTTCCTGTTGCTTTCACCTCCCGGCTCGTATTCTGGGAAACTTTTGCTGACAGCCAAGTTCGTTGCCACACCAAAATGGTTGGTGATAGGTTATCACTTACACCCACCTTCCCTCCTGTCACCTTATCGTCAACAGGTTGTTGAGCCACCATTTACATCCACCTTTCTTCCTGTCTCGTCAGTGTCAACAACAGGAGAATATATTGCCCTTCGATCATCCTCATCTCTCCTTCTACCGCAAAGTTTATCCCCCAAGCCTCCTGTAGCTTTCACCTCCCAGCTCTTCTTCTGAGGAACTTTTGCTGTCATTCGTGTTTGTTGCCACACCAAAAAGATTGCTGATAAGTTATCAAGTCAGGTCTAGGCTAGCGAGCGATGACCTAAGCCGCCAAATGAAAACACACAAGTTAGAAGGTGGGAAGGGTCGCGGAAAAAAGAAGAAGAGGTAGAAAAAGAGAGAGAGAGAGAGAGAGAGAGAGAGAGAGAGAGAGAGAGAGAGAGAGAGAGAGAGAGAGAGAGAGAGAGAGAGAGAGAGAGAGA